GGGCGGGCGTGGGTGGGAAGCGGGGGCAGGGCCGGGAGCTGTGCGCTCCTCCAGCCGCGGTGGGGTCGAGCTGCAAAGGGAGCGGTACCGGGAGGAAACCAGCCCCGGCTCGGTTTGTGGGTACTACTCAGGTAATTCGTTTTCTTCCATGGAGAAGTCGGTGGGAGGAATTCGTTCTGGATAAAGCACGCTAAGAACTGTAGTTTCAAACAGAGCTGAGGAAAATGGTGTAGGTTTGTTTAGTTGTGATTTGGCTAAATCCAAAGTGACGCAGCAGTGCCAGTCAGCAGATCTGCAAATGAGTAGTGAGCCAAGCTCCACGAAATATGTGAGGCCAGCTTAGAAAACCAGTAACGCTGAAGTTCATACTAATACACCTTGTTGCAGTCTGATTCATATTTTCAAAGTTTTCCCTGCAATGCAAGGACCAGAACTTATTTATTAGTACACATGCATTATGGTCAGTGTTCTGTTGAATCAGAGACTCATGCATACATGCAGTCAGGTACTCTATATAAATAGAAAATGCGAGGAGAGACATCTTTAAAAAAAATAGAGTTAGCAATACTGCAGATGATTCTAGTCCAAAACCAAAATTGTCATATCCTTAACAGGTGTTACATTTAGCACACTGGACAAGACATCTGGTATCTGAATAATTATGTTCAGAAGCAAAGCATTTGGCCTGTTAAAACCAATTCTCTTGGTGTCTGGCCAGCCAAATTTGGCTTATAAATTTGTTCATCCAGCTATTGCTTCTCATGGCCATTGCTGTCACAGGAGAAGTGTGGATTACAGACAGAGGTACACGACATGTCAAGGTAGTGCTGGAGGATGGACAATGAGTGCTCCTCAGACCCAGGTTGGTATCTGGAGAGCCCCCTTCCTTCTTCAAGGTTCCTTTAAGTGTTTTTAGTTGACTGCTATCAATATAATTTTTTTAAGATTGTACTTGGTACTAGCAGAACCCCGGTTCTTGAAGCAAAGCTGCAGTCTGTTAATGGTTCATGCACTCATCAAACATGACTGAAATTGTGCCAGACTCAGCATGTCCACACTAATGAAAATACTAATTATGTGCAACTAGCCTGTTTCTAGTGCACCAGCTGGGGGTTTTTTAAAGCTAAACCAGCTCTTGCTGTGCTGCACTGTGGCTTCCTCATGGATCACCTTTCTGCTTGTGAAGTTTAGGAAGAGCTTTGAAAATGAATGCAGGTCTGACTCTGGCCTTTGTGAGTGGTGTAGTGTAATGGAGGAGGAAGTGGTGTGAAAACCAAAAATGGTACAACTGGTGTAATACACCTTACATCTGCCAGCCAGTTGATTGTATCTGGGACCCAGTTTTCCATCACTTAACAGCACAAATTTTAGTTGCCCTCCTGTCTGGGTAATTCGCTGCAGGAGCATCAAGTTCTGATCATCAAGAAGCAGGACACCACTGTCACAATATCACATCAAATCTTGTTTTTTATTCTATGCATCATTCATTCTGGAAGATGAATCTAGTTTATCCTTCTCAGATCATGTTGTGAGATACCGTTTAGAAATGCACAGACTACAGCTGGGGAAATTTGTACAATTTCCACAACTGTATGAAGCTGGCAGGGTTCAAAATACTTCAGTTAGCAAGAAATAGATTAGATATACTTAAGAAGATAGTATTCCTTTGCAATATGATTGCACTGTTCATCTCATTGCTTTGTTTGCTGCTGTTTAGACCTGGTTAGTGTTACCAGACGCACACTTCATGGTGAGCTGCAGACCTGTCCTAATGTGGAGGCCCCTTCTAGCCATTGTACAGCAGCAGACTGGAACTGTGGCAGAGTGCAGGTCAAGCAGTGTTACTGGTATTGAAATTGTAAGCATTTAATAGATGCAGTTGGGATACACCTGAGTTTGCTCAGGACAAAGGTAGATGCGTTTTGACGGAAACTTCCAATCTGCACTGACACCTTTTTGTCATAGGTTTGAATTCTGGTTACTTTCTGAGGGCTTGTGTAGGAGGACTGAAGCATCAGGAAATCTCTGCCCAGTATGCATAACTCAGCATACTGCTGTGGAAAATTGTTCTGGTTCAGTTAGCACAATGTCAGGTTTCCTGGACCCAAGCATAGGACACAGTGTGGGATGGAGACCTAGAGAGAGTGGAGCACAGCAAACAGAATTGTAGGAAATTAGATACGAGTGTTGTTAAGACATGCAGCAAATCTTCAGCTGCTATTTTTGTCAATGAGTGCTGCCTCTAATTAGGCATATGGCTATCTGTGGAGACCCTATCTTATTGCAGGATACAATATATTTGGGTGAGTGTTGCAGAGGGGACAGGGCTCAAAACTGTCTGGGCAGGGGAAAAGCTGTATTGTGACTCTGTTGTCAGTGGGACTTGCAGTATCACCCCTAGTGTTCTTCCCCATGGATTCAGCATATAGGCACAGGTGTGCTAAATTTTGCAGGAGGTAAGTTCAGAATCTGGATGTTTAAAGCACTGAAGGCAAGCAGTTAGCAACTGTCCAAGGATGGTCCTTTATCATGCAAAGACCTAAACCATTCCTGACAGGTGTCTGTCAGACCCAGCTGAGCCTCAGTGCCTCCCTACACTACCTGCGGCTTCGCCAACAGTAATCAGTAGGCAAGGAACTTTAAGTAATTTTCTAGTGGCCTCTGTTTCATACTGCTGCTTATAGATAGGAATTTTAGAGTAAGGCTGAGAAGCTACCAGATTTGTATGAAATAAATATTAATTCACGACTAAAGTGAAACTATTTGAGAAGAACACCATGTAGGGCTGAATCTAAGGGTGTGGATATTCTTTGGTGTTACAATCTAAGTCAGCACTTAGTGAAAATACTGGGAAGTTGTCTAATGTACCACGCTAGTACCAAGTGACAGTGGATTTATTCTATATCATTAAAAGCAGTACTGAGTTTCATCGGTTTCCTGTTTTACTGCTGTGAATTTAATGCTGTTCTTCTAAACAAAGGAGTATTTCTTCTGTTCCCCTGTTGCAGGTCATGGCAGAAGCAGAGTTGCCGGGCGTTTTGGTTCTGGATATAGGAGGAACTCATGGTGTGCTAGAAAACCTTGCAGCACTTTTGAAGAAACACTTTCGCCTTATCACCATGAAGGAATTTCTTGAAAACAAAAAAGAAATGAGCAAAAAAATCCAGTCTGTTTTCGTGTTTGAGTGCAGGCCAACTATTGACCGGGAGCTTCTAGAAAGCCTGCCAGATTTAAAGGTAATTGGAAACTCTGGGGTTGGAGTCGATCACTTAGACTTGAAAATGATTTCCAACTTTGGTGTAAAAGTGACCAACACCCCACATGCTGTGGCAGACCCAACAGCAGACATCGGAATGGCCTTGATGCTGGCCTCTGCCAGAAGACTGGTGGAAGGTAAGGTTTTAAATTCTCCTGGATCTTAGCTACTTCTTTGACATGTCTCACTTTTACCATCATACATATGATCTGTCCAAATCAATATTTGGGATGCTTTTACAGGGAAAAAAAAATCTGAAGACTTCATTTTCAGAGGCCTCTGCTTTTCCTATGTCCTGCTGCTTCTTAAGGCAGTGGTGACAAGAGTAAGGCCTTTGTCTAAATGGTGTACTTCAAAGTCACTTGTGATATCCTGTTTGGAATAATGACCAGAGCTTAATTATCTTCTGGCTGTTCACTGTGGGGGTTGTTTATAGATGTGAAAACTGAATATACAATGCATCCAAATCAAATGTTACCGCTTCTCCATTTTCCCATGGAACAAGTGTTAGGAGCTACAGGAGGGTACAAAGCATTAATGGCCATGTCCCCATCTCTAGAGCAGTAATTACTGTAACTCTTACTTTTATTTCCTGCTTCTGCAAAGAGTTTGTCTAAACCAATATGTTCTATTTCCAGAAGAGCACCAGATTATTGAAATAGTTGATAATCCTTTTGACAAAGTTATTTCAAACTGTACCACCAACATTAGTTTGTGTCCTTAAAGGTAGGTCCTTTCCCCACATGCCCTTGCTATGCAGTGCCTTTCAGGGGAAGGAAGGTGTCAGTAGAGACTATCACAAGAAGTTGCCCTTGTCTTCAGGGACTCATAGTGTTTCTATCACCACTCCTCCACTCCTGAGCATGAAATAGCACCTCTTTCCCCATGATGTTTTCTCACTATTGCATCTTGCTGGACCTCAGGTTCTCTGTATAAAAGCTCATAGAGATCCCTGGCAGAGCTGGAATTTTCAACCTTCATCCCCACTCAAGCAGTGGGGCTGCTTTGGGTTGTGATCCAGGAGAGAAATTGTGAGATTTATCACAGCTAAAAAAAAAGTGAAGTCAATGCTTGCAGTATGGTAAGTGTCAAAGAAGCCATTTTTGAACTTCCAAGAAAATACTCCAGCCACAAAAGAGTTAATCCCTAGAGGAGCCATTCCTCCCAGCACAGTACCCACCCAGGAGACCCCTGTGCTACTGGCTTCAGGGAATCACACCGTTCAGACCCTTCTTTAAACTGGTCACAATTAGCATGGATGTTTTTTAAGGGGGGCTTCAGATCCCTACTGCTGTGATGGTGAGAAACTTTTTATTTCCCTCAAGCCTATGTTTATGGTTGATTTCTACCCATTTGGCCTGTATTTACATTCAGGCTGCCAGATTGCGGTTTCTCCAGACACAAGGTCTTTTGCTGTTGACTGGCTGGGAGTGGAAGTAACCAGAGCAACGCTTGGCATCATCGGGATGGGCAGTATTGGGTACAAAGTGGCTCAGAGAGCCAGAGCCTTCGACATGAGGATCCTGTACCATAACAGGAACCGGAGGTAAAATCATCTGGTTTCCTCATGTAAATAGTCAGGGGGCAGTGATGGAAACCACAGCTCTGCTCTGTGTCCCCGCTTTTCTTAGGCACTTGTGACCATTGTAAGCGGGAGGAGAAGCACCAACGTGCCACCACTTCCTCCCTTTGGCTCCCTGGTGCTCCCCTCGGGAAGCAGCTCCCCAACCTCCTATACCTCATATTGCCTACATGCTTTGCTTTCACACATACATCACCCCTTCAGAGTCCCACCACTCCTCCAGCCTTTTGCTCCCTCTAGCCCGCATCCTTCCTTCTCCCCTTCCACCTTCTACACCCATGAATGTATTTTCCTTTACCTTGGCCTCAAACCTCTCGACTTCTGTGCTGTTCCAGATGTCTCCTAGGATTGATTGATTGCTAAAGCCAGTTAGAAATAGTTGGGTCAGTCGTGGTGTGTGTGCATTTTTCCTTCAGAAGAAAGGAGGAGGAAGAGGCAGTCGGTGCCCACTACTGTGAGAAGATGGAAGACTTGCTGCAGCAATCTGACTTTGTTATGTTGGTTGTGAACCTGAGCCCCGAGACTCACAAGCTGATTGGGAAAAAGGAGCTGGGGCTGATGAAACCCACAGCTGCTCTTATAAACATCAGCCGAGGTAGGATCGTCTAAAAGCACTGTTTGTGGCTCCACAGTTAAGGTTGTTTTGTCTGAAGATGTTGCCATTCCCCCCTCCAACCTCAGTCTGTGATACCCCTGTGTTGTTTGAGTCATGAAGCAGCTGGCAGTCTACAAATGAATGACTTATCATAGATCAGATGCTATCCATTCAAAGGTCCTTTGGAATTTAGAGGTGCTCAGCAGATGTTCTGTTCTCTTTAGCTTTATCCTACAGATAGCTTTTTTGGTGGAAATAACTGAAAGGTTTATCAGCACTGATGATGGATGGGGTACAAAGAAAAATGTACATTTCATTTGGAACAGCTACGTAGAAAAAAAATCTCACATGGAATTACAGACCTGTTGGCACTGAACAAGCATATAAGTGAGATTATAGTTTCAGTAAGCAAAGCAGAGATAAAAGAGTGGAAAGCTTGAAGAAATTAAATTATTTGTCTATAATAATATACATTAAGTCAGTGTCAAAATGAGGAAAGGACTGAAACCAGTCACATCCCAGGATAAGCCTCATGCAGTGGACCATAATCCTCCCCTAATTAAAGATTAATATATAAAATCTCTGTTTTGTTTGGTTAATGGTTATTAGAAAGACATTCTACTTTCTAATAAGGCAAAGGTCCTGTAATTTTTCTCATGAGACCCTTGAGACCTTTCCCCACTCCCAGGTAAAAACGTGTTCATTAACTCATCATGATAGCAAGTTTTCTTTTCAATGCAGGTGCAGTTATTGATCAAGATGCATTGGTAGAAGCTCTCCAGAATAAGGTTATTAGGGCTGCTGCTCTGGATGTGACATACCCTGAGCCTCTGCCAAGGTAGAGACTTGTTTTCCGTCCTATTAATCTGAAATGTTTTAAACTGCATGCAAAAGCGTGGTCATAATCTTGATCTTCATAGGGAGCATCTCACTGAGGACAAAACCTCAGCCTGCCTTGTACAATTGTAAATAAATGAGAAACCATTTGCCTTTGCCACATCTGTCAGTTCTTTGCCAGCCTAACGGATGGGCAAAGCAATGAGACTGATAGAGAGGAAGAAGAAACGGGTAAGCAAGCTTCCCACAGCTTTTTCCTTTGTGCTTGTGGCCTTTTTATCTCAACATGGCTTTGCTGTTTCCTGAGGTTCAGTTCTTACCAATTAGCATGGGATAGCTGCAGAGTAAATTCCTTCTGTAACACTTTCTCTTCTTTCTGTTTCTTACAGAGATCATCCTTTATTAAAATTAAATAACATCATCATAACCCCTCACATTGGAACTGCAACGGTCCAAGCTATCCATGCTATGGCAGAAGAAGCAATAGCAAACATGCTGGCTGTTCTCAGTGGCCAACCCATTCCAAGTGAAGTGTTTCCTAAATGAGGTGTGCCAGCTGACATCACTACATCTCCTATGTATGGGAATGCACTATTTCTTACAGTACCACTTTTTTTAAGAAAACAACCTGTTCCTGCACTGCTCTGTGTCATAATCCTGCAAAGCTGTCATCTCACTAGACTTGCTCTGTATTGTTATTTACAGTTCTGAAAAATAAAGTGGAACTAATACAAGGGATTTGTTTGAAGATTTTATACTGAGCATTTATGCACTTCGATATCTTCAGTCCATTATTTCAATGAACAGGTGTGCTCTGTTCCTGGTACTTGCTGCTACATAATGATAAGCAAGTACATCAAGCAGTTTGTGTAACATTCTCAGATGTATTAAAGGTGAATTGAGCATTAATTTCTTGCAGAAATTTGACTGTATCCTGAAACACTTTTCAGCCAATATTGCAATATTCTATTTTTATATTAAAGCACTAAAGAAAGCAGACTCCTTTGAAATTATCCTAGGCCTAAGGTTTCCTAATGTAAAAAAGAGCTCTGCTTCATCTACATGTTAAACCAAATCAAAGCAAATAATTGAAAAAATCTCTTTGATTTTCCTGAGGGGATCCTTTGTAAGCCAAAGTGAATTGCAAGAGATTTAGTTCCTCCATGCAGACAAAAATGATGCTTTTATCTTGACTGCCCATGAAACAATGGTAGATCTACCGCTGAAATAACATGATGAGGGCATAACCTAAAGCAAAATCAGTGATCAGTCCTAATTTCCAGCCCAGGGCCAAGCTTTTTCTTACATTTTCTTGCCTATGAGCAAGCAACAAAGTCAGAAAATTCAGTAAAATGTTTGTCACCTCCATCAAGTCAGGAAGCCTTTCCATTATTTTGCAGTATGGTCAGGCTCCTTGAAGGGATATGTAGAGTTAGACACTCAGATGCAAATAGTGGAATACCACTAACAAGACAACAGCAAGTATTGTAGTAACAAGAAAAGAGTAAGTATTGCTATAGGAGATTACAAGATCTTCAGCCCTTGAACAGCTCTCCCTGCAGCTCTTCCCAAAATTCCTATGGAAAATCAATAGTAGCTGTAAATAGTCTATTGGAAAAAGATAAAAAAATCCGTCAATTCACAGACCCTCAGGGAACGACAAAGAGATGGTCAGTGATTCCTGTAAGAAAGACCCATATGTTTTAATTTGACTGCATTAGTCCTTCTTGGAAAATACTTGCCTAAGCATCTGTTACTTTGTTAACCTCTGATAACCTCAGGAGAAGGCACTGCAGCTGAGAAGTCGCTGGTGTCTGTTCAGGACCAGAAGCTGCAAAAATCTCTGCAATTGATTTCCAGAGAGGTGACCTAAAACAAAACTTGAAGACTCGTGAGAGTTTAAGTTGATATTCTTTAATACAGTGCCAGGGTCCTCTCAGAATCACCTGAGATCTCCACCAGTTGTTACACACAGGCTCTTTTTATTCCCTATACTAACACACATGCATCCTAACTACTGCAAATAAACACATCTCTTCGTAGAACTAATTCTCATAAGTCCAGCCTATTTTGGCTCCTTTCTTCACTGGTCCATAGGTGTCCTCTCATGGTCATCTTGAGGTATTTTCATGGTTAGTGGTTGTCTACTTCATCAGGTGGTCATATCTTCAGCTTCATCAGTTGTCCTTTTGGTAATCCTTCTCTTAGAGCATGCATAGAGGTAGTATTGACTTCATAACCACCTGCAGACTTGGCTTGGCATACATCATTGTTCCTGTTCCTATATGTCCTATATCTTAAACAAAGTGGTTTTCCAAATTGTCCTAAGCTACTTGATTATCCTATTTAATGATTTACCCTACCTGTCAAGCATACATAGTTTATGACCTTGTTTTCTAAGTCCCCTAAGGCATTTTCCATTAGCTTTGGAGGGTTTTCTGTACTTTTCCATTATCACAATGAAGCATTTAAAAATTAACCTGGAAAGTTCATGATAAAGCTGTGCAATTTATTTTCACAAACTAGATTTTGTCCAACATTTTTCTAAGCTGCTTAGACATGGTAATTTGTGATTTCAAAGGGAAAGAGATTTATTGCACCAGAATATTGATGGTCTGAAACTAAGTAATTAATGAGAAATAATATTGTGTTATGATCCTGGTGGCAGTGATATGAAACCTTAGAGACAGATGGACAGAACTTGCTCAGACTTGATTATGTGAATATCTGTGTGTGTGAGTGTGTGTATGTATAGTTGGTTGTATACTTTTAAAAGCTGCTTTTTTGTCTTGGTTTGTTAATTTCCCTATCTAAACATGTGGTTTATAAGATCTCGTATCATAGATGTCATGAAACAGGACATGAAAGTGATTATTCTTTAAAATGTCTGAAAATAATTACATGTCTTTCTTCTGACACTCAGTCTTTCTCCTCTGTGCAGATCATGGGAGGAGGAGAGCTACCTGGGCTTTTGGTAAATGAAATTGGTGGCATACATGGGATATTGCATGGCCACGTGGCGTTCCTGAAGAAACATTTCTACCTCATCACCATGAAGGAATTTCTGGAAAACAAAAAGCATATGAGTGAAAAGGTCCAAGCAATCTATTTGTGGTGGCACAAACCAGTCGTTGACCAAGAGCTCCTCCAGAGCCTGCCAAACTTGAAAGTGATCGCGAATTCAGGAGTAGGGATGGATCACCTGGATCTGAAACTTATAGCTAGCTTTGGGGTGAAGATGGCTAATGCTCCACGTGCTGTTTCCAGCAGCACAGCAGATACTGGGATGGCTTTGCTGCTGGCATCTGCTAGAAGACTAGTGGAAGGTAACATCTCAATTTTTCCGTGGCTTCTAAAAATCATACAAGATTTACCTACCTTTAACTTGACTTTTCCTAGAGTTATCTGTGGTGCGCATAGTTTCACATAATGTATAAAAATATAAATATATTGGGTTGGCAAATAGAGTAATCAGTATTTTCATATATTTTCTATACCATGAGGATATCTAAATTATTATATTATACACAAACATACATATCATATATTTCAACCAGTTATAAAATCATATGACCTTATTTTTCACATGTCATCAGTCTGGGTTGAAATTACTTGAGCAGAATCTAATTACATTCATTTCAAATACAACTTTTTGCTTTATGTACAGGACTTGATCTTAGAACCTGTAATTTAGTTTTCAGAATAAATATGGCTATAGACTTAATTTAACTGTTTCAGGTGAACAACACACTGAAGTGTGCTTCCTACATATGAAATCTTTAATTTTCATTATCTTCTTCAGCAGCACATTTTCAGTGAGTATGATATTTGGCAGGTGTAAGACGTGCTTCGATGTTATAATGTTACAGTGCTACTGACCAAAAGTGGGAGATGCCAAAGCTCAGACAATCGCTGCAATCGCAGGCTGGCAGAGAAATCAGACTGTGGAAGACAACAATGGAGCGGAACGAGGGCATATGCTTAAAGCTGGGGCTTAGAAGTGCAGGCATATTCTCAGGGGTTTAAATGGATTGGTGCAGAATTGGGGAATTTAAGGAGCATTAGAGAGCAATAAGGCAGCCTGCTCCTGTTTCGTCTAGTAGCATCCCTTCTAGTTTCTTGCACAGTATTTTCTTGCCATTTCCCAAATAGACCTACCCTGGGCTTGGTTAGAATGCCTCCTGCTTCAGGAAAAGGTCCTCTAGATTTATCCTGCTAAATTTACCTGCCTTTGATTTGCCAGCTGTACCACAAGATTCATAGAAACTCAAAGGAGACTTGTCTTCCCCTAAATCTGTTTCTACCTCACAAGGAGGAGATGGATTAAAAGGGAGATTAATTTCTTGTTCACGTCTACATAAACTATCCCTAGTGGCATTTCTGATGGCTCTGCCTTGGCATGACTGAGTTTTATCCTGAGGCATTTTTTGATACTTTCACAATATTCTGCTTATGTTTTAGAAGAGCTGGCAATATCAGAAGACTGAAATATCAGAAGCCTGCCACCTTGCTAGCAGAGTAAAAAGTGCCGTCTCTGTGCATATAAGTTTATTTTCTATGTTGTTGAACTATCCAAAATTTTGCAGGTTTAACAGATAACTATGGAAATCATGGAGTAGTGATTTTCAAAGAAGTGACATTTTTCTTTCTAAGGAGAGTGGCAGATGTGAACAGGAAACCTGTTCTTATTTTGAACAACAATACCAACATCTGGTGTTATTCTCCTCGTGACAGTTCCAAACTCTGCAGTGATACTGGCAATAATAACATTGATAGTTGATGCAAAACAGGGTGACATTTTTATGAGTCTAAAGCAATAAGAGGATTTTTAGGGGAGGTTACACCAAAAGGCTTTTTGTAGTATGGTGAGAATAAATGGGAGTGTCACATACACATGACAGGGAAAGTTGTATTAGAGAATCACCTAGAACATGACAAAAACCATTGCTATTTAAAATTGTGTGTTTGTAACCATTGTACTACAGCAGCCCAACAAGCCCAGACTCTTTTGTCTTGTTCCTCTGTGTTGGACCCCATTAATTTCTCATGTTGGAGTATCTTTCTTGCAGGCTATCACCTTGCAATTTCTTCAGATACGGACTACTGTGAAGCTGATTTTCTGGGAGTTGAAGTTACTGGAGCTACTCTGGGGATCATTGGCATGGGCAGGATTGGGTATAAGATTGCTTTGAGAGCCAAAGCATTTGAAATGAACATTTTGTACCACAACAGGACACACAGGTAAAGATACATTCTGAGTGTAATTACAGCAGAAACTCCCTTTTAGATAGTCAGTATATCCTTTTCAAGGAATTATGTCAGGAATACAGCAAGAAGTGAAGGAATAAAGCCAAGGTTAGAACAGAAGAGAAAAGAAAATGCTTGTCTCAAATTGGTCTTGTAAGGAATTACTTGGTGATTAAACACTTGGAAACGTAATTTAGGTTTTATATTAGAAATGCCAAGGTTTTCTGGAGATGTCAGCATTAAAAAGAAAACCAAGCTTATACCTTTTTCATTTTTATGATATTTTATTGTAGTGACACACAACTCCACCTTTTGTTTATTTTTTTCCCCATATTTTGAAGATTCAGCACAGGGGCTCTTCAATGTGA